TTAGAGGAAAGAGGCATTCAAATGCATAATGTAGCCAATGTGCCCTATCCCTCTTCATCTCTCTCTCTCTGCCTTCCCTCTCCCCCTGCATCTCTTTTTCCCTGTAAGATTTGCTAGGAGATAACTCTGATATGGCCACTGTCTTCAATCACTTAAAAGGAAATAATTCAATTATATCCTCCTCTCAGTAGCAACTGCCATTGCTTTCTGTCCACTTCCAGTCCCCACAAGTAAATTACTTTGATAAAATCCCCCCACTCCTTACTCATATTTTCCCCCCACTAGACTTTAATATGTTATGATGCCAGTGATATTCCAAGGGCAAAACAATTCTCAGATCTTTAGTAAGAAAAGGGGGAGGATTTTGAGATGCTTTTTTTGAAGTTTTTGGTTGTTTCCTTTTATCCTATTTTTTCAACAACAACAAATTCTCTGAAATGCAGTTCATTTGTAGTTAACCCGAATTACCAAAAGACATGTCCAGAAGGGATCTTTGCCAAATGCTAGGTTTAAATTGTGGCAATTAACAGGATTTAGAAGTGCATCAGGTCAGATTGGTCTTGGGGGATTCCTGCTAGCTAAAATGGCTTTGTTCATAAATAGATTAAATCCCTGCAATTCGCTTCTACTTTGGCAAAGCCATATTTGTGAAAAGGTGTTTGTTTCCCATTTGACACACAGCATATCATTCAGAGAACTGTCTCCAGGGTCCATTTCATTGACCTAGAGAGCCAGTGGTCTCTGACCTGCATACATTAGAAAACGTTTCTCACAATGAGAGCTTACGTGATAGGAAAAAATCATCAGGAGTAGACACCCACCAATTCTGCAAAGTTAGGCTGGGTTCAAAGAAGGGGTTTTTAAGTGGTGGTCCCAATCTTACAGAATTTTCATTCTGGAGAGGATCACCAGGGGCCAGTTATACAGTTCTTGAGAAGTAAATCACCTCCGTTATTTTTCTCACTCTTGTCTGACTGATAATTGTGTCAGATGTTATTTGCTTGGAAGCCTATTTCATATATAGTATATAGACCTATGTTTCCCACGATGATTCTGATTACTATCATTGTTGTTGTTTATTCGTTCAGTCATTTCCGACTCTTCATGACCTCATGGACCAGCCCATGCCAGAGCTCCCTGTCGGCCATCACCACCCCAGCTCCTTCAAGGTCAATCCAGTCACTTCAAGGATGCCATCCATCCATCTTGCCCTTGGTCGGCCCCTCTTCCTTTCTCCTTCCATTTTTCCCAGTATCATTGTCTTCTCTAAGCTTTCTTTTCTCCTCATTATGTGGCCAAAGTACTTCATCTTTGCCTCTAATATCCTTCCCTCCAATGAGCAGTCAGGCTTTATGTCCTGAAGTGTGGACTGGTTGGATCTTCTGGCGGTCCAAGGCACTCTCAGAACTTTCCTCCAACACCGCAGTTCAAAAGCATCTATCTTCCTTCGCTCAGCCTTCCCTATGGTCCAGCTCTCACATCCGTAAGTTACTACGGGGAATACCATGGCTTTAACAATGCAGATCTTCGTTGCCAGTGTGATGTCTCTACTCTTCACTATTTTATTGAGATTGGACATTGCTCTCCTCCCACGAAGTAAGCGTCTCTTACTAAGAGTGTTAAAATAGGTTGTTAGCTGCCCCAGAAAGGTTTGGTATGGATGTTTTAATAAGTGCTTTAAAATCCTTCAATTAAAAAAAATGTTTCTTTATACCAGTGTTTCCCAACTTTTATTTGTCCAGGGATCACTTGGCCAGAGACCACTCCAACATTAGTACCTAAAGGGTTACAAATCAACTTTTGATTTGGTTTAGTTATTTGGGGTGCTAACTCAGAAAACTGCATTGGATAAACCACATCAGCTCTAGTTTCTGATACAAAACATAAGCCATCCATTAGTCACCTTCTGCTCGCCCACAGAAAACCATATTTAATAATTTAGAGCTGATGAGATCTATCCAATGCAGTTTTCTGAACCAGCACCCCAAATAACCCCAGGAACAGGCCTAAAAACAAAGACACCAAAGTGCCCCCACTTCTAGGTGGCACATGGAATAGCTCTCCTCAGTACGAGCAGTCAGGAGGCTTTTTGTCACACCTTTTGTGGGTAGTCAGCCTCTCCCCTCCCAACATCTTCGTTGCCTTGGCACTATAAGGGAGCTTCGCAACACCAGTCACTCTTGTTGCAACGTGTAGTAACGGTGAGTTGGTGGACCATATTTTAATCCTTGGGGACCACTGGTGGTCCACGGACCACAGGTTGGGAACCACTGCTTTATACCTTCAGAGACTGAATCTAGATTAAGGTACAATGTAACCCTTAAGTTACATTGTACCTCAAACCAAAGTTACATCTGGTGACTTCAGCGCCAGAGAAATGGGTCTAAGACTGCGCTCCTGGTAAAGCCTGTTATACAATTGATTTCACTAAAAATGGGTTTTGAGCTCACTGTGATGCTAATTTATCATGCATTAGGTAAATTACCTTGTAAGGTCCCTCTATTTGTGGCTGCCCTGTTTCTAAATGAAATAGCTGATCTTTTGTAGTCCATTCTTTGTGGGTTAATGTTGGTTCAATCTATCAGTATCAACATTATCATGATTCTTAGTCTACTCATTATGTTTAGTAACACTGCAGTGCCTCCAGCTGTGTAAAACATTTGACATTTTTGAGACTCTGGCCTGAATCTTCCAATGTGTCCTTGGTTTGTTATTAAGGATTAAAAACAGCAAATGGTACTAGTAAAATAGAGCTGTATAAACACTTGTTTGCCTGTTCATACTTCCATTTCTTTTCTTTTAAATATTTCCTGAATTTCTATACAGACTACAGCCATATCTCCACATTCGTTGGGGTTAAGGCATAGGAACCCTGTGACAGTAGAAAAAAATCTCTCACACTTTCTTTCTTTCTTTCTTTCTTTCTCTCACTCTATATCCTGAGAAACATCTCTCTAGGCTCTCCAGTGTGACTCGATGCTCAACTTCCACTGGAAGTTAACCATAGAATTGTGCTAGAAAATCTATCCATGTGGAGAAAAGTATTGTCTCTGGGAATTTCTAGGTCCCCCAGCAGAGCTCCATGGTCAAGTTCTGGAGGACCTAGAGATTCTTAGAATATATTAATCAAACCCATGAATTATCATATCCAAAGAAGTGAAAATTGCAAACGTAGAGGGCCGACCGTACTTGTAGCAGGAAACAAAACCAGTTTTTTAGGTGCTAATAGCCTACTTGTAACCTTTTGACTAACTGTATATACCCAAGTATAAGCCTAGTTTTTCAGCCCCCTTTTTAGGCTGAAAAAGCCCCCCTTGGCTTAGACTCAAGTCAATGCTATTTATTATTTTACTCTGTTATTATTATTATTATTATTACATGTATTACTTTACTCTATTATTATAGCATTTATAATTTAACTTTATTATTACTGTTATTATTACATTTCCATTATTTTACTCTATTATTATTATTATTATTATTTCATTTATTATTTTAGACTCTTTATTATTATTGAAGGACACAAAAACACAATTACATTGAAGAAGGTTAGAATAATGGTTTAATCAGAATTGGGCAATCTTATCTTAAATTACAGTTTTATGTAAATATTCAAAAACATTTAAGCTACTGATGCCTCATTTAATGTAATTTTATTGGTATCTATTTTTATTTTGAAATTAACCAGTAGCTGCTGCATTTCCCATCCTTGGTTTATACTCGATTTTTATACTCAAGGCACCTATTTTTTTATGGTAAAATTAGGTGCCTCAGCTTATATTCAGGTTGGCTTATACCCGAGTATATACGGTAGATGTTTAACTCTTTCAGCAATAGGAGTCTGATTTTTCTCAAACTAGGAAACATTATTGCACAGTCTTTGTGTGTGTTTGAAGACATTAATAGTTTAGTTTTGTCATTCATTGTGAGAGTAATCTCCAGGAAAAATGTTGACTCAAGCGGTGGACTCAAAAGAGGTCTCTACAAAGGCGGCTATTGCTGTGGATTTAGCAAATCCACCCTTGGGTTTATAAGCAATCTTCCTATATCTGCTTGAGTGGTGTGAGAGCTGGCTCACAATTTGGAGAAGATGTGGAAGGAATGGCTATGAAATGCATAGTGACTTTTTAAAATGCAGAGTGGATCTGTCCATCATCCTCAGAGTCAGCAAACTTGGAAGTGGGTTGTGGAATTTAAGAACTAAAGTGCATGTTGGGTCCACAATGTTATTAGCAACAATGCTTCCTTAAAAATGAAATAGCGGGATCTCATGGGTCCATTCTTCTTAGGAATGCTGCTATGTGAGCATGTGCATGTGTGCATGTACATGCATAGTGCGTGTATGGAAGATTTAAACCTCTGAATCTCAGTGAAGCTATTGGTGAGCCCTTAATGATAACTTTCTCTTTCTAATACTGCACAGAAGCATATGACTATGCAGTAGTGGGATCTCCATCCATAACATGGCTGGAAAAAGAAGGCTCAATTTTTCTGCGCAGTGTACTGAGTTCTGAAGAACTATGCCCCTTCCCAATGTAATATTTCAGTTTTCAAAACCCAGGATGGTTTCATTAATCATATCATTGTTGGCATGTTTTGTTAGATGCAAAGGTTGTCATTGATTGATTTGCTTTCATCCTAAAAATGCATTCACTGAAATTATTTGGGGGGCTTTAGTTTATGAAAGTAGTCATTTCTGAGAATGGAGTAATCTAGTGATTTTTGGTTAATTTTTAAAACTTGAAAGAAAACTGCTGGGGGACAAGTGCCATTGATTCTCATGCTACCATTTTATTTTGACTGTATGAGGATTATGGCACAGATTGGAGGATTAAATTAGCACGACTTTGTGAGGTAGGTGACCACTCACTCAGTTTCCAAGCTGCCATAGTTGCAGCACTAATAGTACTGAATTACAAACATTAGTTCTGATTTAAGTCAGCCTACATAGACATCTTTCAAGTGGCTACTGATGTGGGATGTTGTTGTTTTTTTTATAGAGAAAGTGTTGAGAGCCTTATTCAAAAGCATTCCTATGCACGATCCCCTATTAGGACCTATGGCAGTGAGGATGACATTCTGGGAGATGAGAGCCAAACATCACAAAGCAGAGGTAAGTTAGGGGTCTGATCCAAAAAGTTGCAGAGCTCAAGCCTGCAGTGCCAGTATCATGGCTGGAAAAAGAGGAATGTCACATCTATGGCTTTGATTGTAAAAATAAATCCCAAGAAAGGTGCAGGCTACGTTTTCAGGAGATGAGAACACCATACCTAGAAATATTCTAGGTGTGACCAGTTTTCATTGTCTAATTCTCTGCAAACTGAAGGAAAATATCATGGGTTTGGAACAGAATTCTGATTTAGATTTGCGGACTCAGACTTGGTTGTGTTAATATTTTAAGGGCCAATATTTTAATGTATTTTATTGCTTTTCAATGTATTTTTATAGCTATACATTTGTTCATGTTAATTGTTGTGTTCTGTTTCTTTGCTGGCATCTAATGACTGCCAATTGTAAGCCACCCTGAGTCCCCCTTTGGGGGTTGAGAAGGACGGGATACAAATACTCTAACAGCATATTTACAGCCTTCAGTGGTTTACTCCTACTCCTGAAACAGTGAAGATATAGACATAAAATTGCTTCTTTCCTTATTGATATATTGGATTTATACCTTGCTTTTCCTGCCAAAATGGCATTAAGGCAGGTCTGAGTAATACTGAATAAAAGATTTAAATTAAAATGCCAAACAATTATCACACACTCTTGTAATGAGTATGCACTTTGTCTCCTGAGTGAACATGGCACTCATGAGACGTAATTTGGAGTCTCTGTATCTTCTCAGCTTCCACACCATGGGTTGGATTTTTCCCAAACCTCATAGAGGACTCCTTAGAATATGTGTACTAGACAAAAACCTATGAGTCCATTGTATGAGGCAATACCAACAGGTAGAGATCCCTCTGGTATCCCTTGGTTGAAATTATAGTCCTAGAAATGCTTCTGTAGTTGCTTTTTCTTGAGACATTTTGACACCATCTGATGTTACTTGGCCACATATGTTCTGTTTTTGTCAATGAAATGTTCCAAGGTTGGCCATTTCCAGTGGTTACCAATCTTTGGTCCTCCCAGTGTTTTGGACTTCAGCTCCCACAATTCCCAAGACCTGGTAAGCTGGCTGGGATTTCTGGGAGTTGAAGTCCAAAATACTTGGAGGACCAAAGGTTGAGAACTACTGTATGAACTGCACTAGCTGAACTTTTTTCCCCTATTTGTATTGTAAAATTTTAAGGGATTTTTTTCCTTCACTTTTTTTAACAGGATCTGCTTTTACCACATCTGACAACTTGTCTCTCAGTTCCTGGGTCTCATCATCATCCAGCTTCCCCGGATTTCAGCATCCGCAGTCTCTGACTGCCCTTGGTTCCAGCACTACATCTATAGCCACTCCTATTCCACACCCAATGCAAGCGTCCCTGCCTCCATACAGCCGCCTGGGGATGCCGCTAGCACCTTCTACCATTGCCAGCTCAATGCAGGGAAGTGGCCCAACATTCCCCTCCTTTCACATGCCACGGTACCACCATTACTTTCAGCAGGGGCCTTATGCGGCAATCCAGGGACTGCGCCACTCCTCAGCGGTGATGACACCTTTTGTATGACTGACCCTTAGGCAAAGGGAGCCCAGACTTGGTACAGAAGCAATGACAAACCTGTTTGAAAGCCGTATGGAGGAACAGTAGAGGGAATCCTAAGACAACCAGCCAGCGTAAAACTCTGGATTTAGATTCCTCCTCCGATGTGAAGCTTAAGTGAAGCTTGGAGTGTCTCAGAGCTTTAAGTGTGATACTGCCAAAGGAATTCCAGCTGTTGAAAGGTCTGTAAATAAATATTGAATGATTGGAAGGCGCATCATAACCACTAGATATGAGACTGTGTTTCCACAGCTGTGTATAATTGTACCGGGTATACATTTCCGCAGAGCTTGGGAAAGAGGTTTATTTTGGGGGGCTGCAACTCCCAGACTTCCCTCAGCTTCCATGATAATGGGATTCTGGGAGTTGCACTTCCAAAAACAACTTATCCAGGTTCTAAATTTCCTCTCCCTGTGAAAGCAAAAGAGGCAATATTGTGTTAATAACTTCATTGCTTTCTATTAATAATAGGGAAAAGTGTGTGTTTTGAGCATGTTTGAGCTACTTCAGTGTTACATTCTCTATGAAAGTAATGGGGAAATACTAGCCCACTATTTTCTCTCTTCTTTTTAACCTCTTTATTTTAAATTCTAGCCCCAATTTACCGAGAATAGTGGGAACGATGCATTGACACATTTCTTGTGGAACAGAATGGCAGACACAAAATCAGAACATACGCTCTAGGGAAACCTTTTCATCTGTTGTGGAGAAGATATTCCCACATCATTTTTTTACTAGTCATAAAGTAAAACATTCTCTAATTTTTATTCTTTACATTTCCAATTGAGTAGTGACATTAACAATCTCCCCCTGATGTTTTTGTGTAAAGTGGTAATTTTAAAACTGTTTTTTAATGGTTGCAAAGATCTCTTAATTTGAAGATGAATAAGCTCCATGTCCCACTCCTCTGCATTCAACTATACCAAAATTATTTATGTATTGACTTAAGATAAGAAGATTGAGAGTGGAGTTGAATAACTTGTGACTGTCCAGCTCTTTCCGGGCTGCAGTTCCTATAAGATCTCATCTACATTGCCATATAAAATCCAGATTATCTGCTTTGAACTGGATTATGGCAGTTTAGACTCATATAATCCAGTTCAAAACAGATAATCTGGATATTATATGGCAGTGTAGATGGGGCCTTAGCCTCGATAGTAGGGCCAATGCTGGAAGCTGATAGGAACTGAAGTTCAGCAACATGAGAGGATTATAAATTCCCATCCCCAATGTAGGAGGAAACAGCTAGCAATAACCAGCCAAAACTCTACTCAAAGAGAATGCAATAAACATATCTGAATATGGAAAGATCCCAAAGAACAGAAAATTGCCCAACAGAGATGGGTCAGCCTTGTCCACAACTGTTAATTTAAACCATAGTATGGCTAAGAAAGATGTGATAGTCCAGTATCGTTGACTGTGAAATAAACTCCAGACAGCATAGCCAATATGAAGGATAACAGGAATAGGAGTTCATCATCTGAATCAGGGTTACACGTTGCTCACACTTGTCAAACTTCTGGCCATTTCAACTTTCAGTCCCAGAAAGCGGAGAGAAGTTTTCTTGCTCTTATGGTTTCAGAAACAAATCATGTAAGGAAAAAGCCAAAACATTCAAATGAGTGAAGTCACATTTCAAAAGACCTAATTCTCATATTGATAACCATTTAGATTATTTATTTAATGGATCAGGCATATTTACATATTTGAGGATTTCATGTCATAATAACAAAACAGACAGTTATTATGTTCATCAAATTGCCTGATCACGGGGAACAG